GGTTCAATTTCAGAGGGAGGTCCATAAAAGAGCTAAAGAAGCAAATACTACAAATTTGAAAAAAAAATCAATGCAAAAGTAATTTGATGAAGAACAATATTAAAAGTGTTATATTCTTAAAATCAGATTAAATATACCTTTTGGTTTACTGGTGAACTATCTGCCGTTGACAGAAGAAATGAAAGATTGATTTTGTGGCTTAAATAAGATATCAGTCTCCTTCCTTGCACACAGATTTGAAATTTGCTGATGGAGCAGACTGAAGATGCAACCAAGATTATCAGGAATTCTGTCTACTAATAACCACGGCAAATCAACAATGTCATTCAGAATGCTTTTGTCATATGGAACAATTGCTGCCTAATTACCCAGTTCTACTCTGACTGTCACATTATCAGATCACTGATGAGCTTCGAGCCTTTTTGGTAACAAAAACTACAATGCTGAACACTAACGTTCAGATTCAAAACAGCATCCAACATATGGTTATTTTCCTTTAAGCTGCCAGTTAAGAATAAACATATTTTTGTAATAATCAGAACCAAGTGCACAAATACAATGACTAATCAGTCACTGTGAAGTCCATTTAAGGCAATGATTTTCAAAACTTTCATGAGGAATCTCACACAAATACCAACAGACTGCCAGGGAACTGCTTGGGTTAATCTCATATTCTTCCAAAAGGCACAATCAACTAACTGCAGGAAGAGAACAGTCCAATTTTATAGATTTCCTTTAAAAAAAAAGAATTTAAAAAAAAATGATTTTTTAAACAATGGGCTCACTCCCCAAACTCCACAGCACTCTGGTTGACCTATCTGCAGTCCCCGGACTGGCTGCACTTGACCTTCAGGACTGACATTGACCTAATCCCCAGACGAAGAAAATGGATCCCCGGTCTCCAGTAGGATTAAATGCCTGATGACTGTGCCAGCCTCCTGATTGACTGTGGCAGTACTCTTAACTATGCACCGCACTAAGGACTGCTACCTTTGGACTTGCAGACATTGTCATTTGTATGAAGCACATGCAGTGTGTTTGCTGTCTATACGGCTGGCACATGCTGACGGTGTGACACTGATGTAACACGGTGCCACTCACCACTTGTCACTCCGTGATTGTCCAGTGTACCCTCATGTCACAATCTGCCCGCCTTTCCCTATGCACCAAAAAGAGCCACAGAGGTTGGAAACCTGCAACCGAGCACTGAAGGTTCTGTGTGCTAAGAAAGCAATGTGAATCCCATAGAGCTGACGTTTCGGGCCTAGACCCATTTCTGAAGAAGGGTCTAGGCCCGAAACGTCAGCCTTCCTGCTCCTCTGATGCTGTTTGGCCTGCTGTGTTCATCCAGCTCTACACCTTGTTATCTCAGATTCTCCAGCATCTGCAGTTCCTACTATCTCTGAATCCTGTAGAGGCTGGCAGCCTGCAAGTCACTGCTGAAGTCAGTGAGTATGCATGAAGAATGCAATGTGAAGTAGACAGAGGTTGACCGCCTCCTAGTAAACACAAGCTAAGAGTCATGAGATGCATCCTGTGCAAATGCATGAAATGTGTCCTGCATGTAATGCAACCTGGGAGAAGCAGATAAAGTGATAAAATGAGACTGGTGGTTTGCAATGCTGACTTACGCAGACAAATGGTCGAGGTGCATTGCGGCCATGGAGCGTGCAGGGACATGGTTTTAAAGAAGCATTTGCACGATGGCTGGGACAAGCATTTGGCAAGCTATACCCACGAGGTAACTGTTCTTTTACATGTCAGGAACTAGTACCATCAAGTTTCTCAGGGAAGAAGGAGGAAAACTGGCATGCAAACAAGGTGAGTTCTTTAATGAGACGCAAGTACATGGAAATAAGGTTGCTCAACGGTGAGATTTTGAAGTCTCCATTTAAGGTTTGATGGGAAAATTATCAGAAATAATTTTTCTCAAATGTTAAGGTTGTGCTTGTTTTCATTCATTCCACGTTTCCCAATTTTGTTGCTCACAAAACACCAAGGAAGAAAAATAATCAACCCGGATACTTATTGGCCAATACGATCTTTTCTCAAAAACAATCTCTGCAGAGAGATTTTGTCATGTCATGTCATAGACATAGAATCCCTACAGCGTGTAAACAGGCCCTTCGGCCCAACAAGTCCACACCGACCCTCAGACATCCCACCCACACCCATCCCCCTATAACCCACCTAATCTACACATCCCTGAGCACTATGGGCTGTTTAGCATGACCAATCCACCTAACCTGCACATCTTTCGACTGTAGGAGGCACCCAGAGGAAACCCACGCAGATACAGGGAGAATGTGCAAACTCCACACAACCAGTCGCCCAATGGTGGAATCGAACCCGGGTTCCTGGCGCTGTGAGGCAGCAGTGTTAACTACTGAGCCACTGTGCTGCCTTAAATTGTATTAATAAGCAATTGCATTTATAATTTTTTTAAATGCTTTTTACTTAACTTACTTTTCTTCAAATATTTAGAGGGATAAATGCTTATACGTTCAAATTACAAACTACATGTGTTAACTAATTTTGCATCATCTTTAAGTTTCATGTTATAATAGATCAATAATTTAATGTTTATTAAAGAAACCTGATTGTTGGACCTTTTTATTATGGATCTAATATGGATAAAGCACATAATTAGCCATATCAAGAACCAGGTAAAACAATTACATTTGTGTTGAAAAAGCAAAATACTGCAGATGCTGAATATCCAAAATAAAAAAAGCAGACATTCCTGGAGAAACATAGCAGGACTGGCAGCATCTGTGGAGAGTGGCAAAGTGATGTCAATAGTTGTATTCAATTCCCACAGAAGCGGAGATTACCATGAAGGACTCTCCTTCTCAACCTGTCCCCTCACATGAGGCATGGTGACCCTTGAGTTAAACCAAGACCAGTCATTTCTCTCTAATGAGACAGCAGCCTATTGTTCAGTAGGATTATGGCAACTTTACCTTTATTACACATTTTTGATTCTATTAATACCATCAACGGAACCTTGTGATTCCTCAAGAAAAAAAATGAAATATAAGTTTGGTCTTATTTTTATGAACTTTGTTAAGACTTTGAGTCAAAAAAGGCTCAAACATCATACAAATATACCTCGAATTTGAAAGGAAGGAAGGAATGCTTAAAAGCAATCTTATAATTGCATGAGATATCCATAACATCAATTTGAACTTTCTAAAGTTAAACACTAGTGTATGTTTTAAGATCTTTACTGTAACAAATATTTAAAAACACTATAAACAAACCTGTTGTTGTAGGAAACCTTTAGTTTTAGAACTACAGAAAAGAACATTCGTCTTCAACTTTTAACAACATACAACTTTGTACTGCCAATATGTAGTCATTCATTTTTCCCCAGACTCAGTGCGGACTAATTCCTGGCTCATGAAGATTTACTAAAATTCCCAGCCATATAACCTTTAACCTTAGAACAGTCTTTCGCTGTGAGGGGTATTGCTGGTCGTACTTTCTTTAACACAGGCTAAGCAAATCTTCCAGTGTCATTTTAAATCCTTAAATCAGAATGTAAGCTCCAACATGCACTCCTATGGTACATCTCAGAGACTTTCATAAGAATTAATGAATTAGGAACAGGATAGGCTATTCAACCCTCTAGCCTGCTCAACTATTTAATAAGATTATGTTTGATCTGACTGTGACCTCAATTCCACATTCTTGTCCACCCTGACCTCCCTTGTTTATCAAGAACGTATCTACCCTTGCTTTAAAAGCATTTAATGAATCCCACCTCCAATCCTCTTCTCCAGAAAATGTTCCATCAACTTCCCCTCTGAGAGGAGAATTCTTTCACATCCACATCTCACTTTTAAACTATGCCTCTAGTTCTTGTTTCCCTTGTGGGAGAGACTTTCTCTTAGAAACCCTTGTCCCCTCAAAGTATATTTCCTTGGCAACATGAATCGCATGGGTTTTGTATCCAGATAGAAATGCTGATTAGCTACCAACTCTCTTTCATCTTAGAAGTCAATGGGCAGCTTAAAGCATAACTGTTTACGATCTGACATTCTTAACACTACCCTGGCACTTCGAAGCAATGTGACCACTCTAAACACAAAAGCAGCTGCCTCGTCTCAAAATGGGAACATCTTACACCACCTTTCCAGCAAAATAATTTGGGCTTTTCTTTAACCTTTAATAGCCAAATCATCCAGGCCTGCTTTTAAAGGAGAATTCAAAACAGATCACAGAACTCCCTACACTTCACTAAGTTAAACAGATAGTTCCTAAACCTACCAAAAATTGTTATAAACCTTAGAATTGTAACTGTAAGACAGCAAAAATATCTTAGCACCTCTACCATTTAAGATCAGACTCTGCTCTTGCTGATAGCTTTAGAATCACAGAATCCCTACAATGTGGAAACAGGACATTCACCCCCTCAAGTGCATACTGACCCTCTGAAGGCCATCCCACCCAGACCCACCCCCTACCCCATACCTGTAATCCTGCATTTCCCATAGATAATCCATCAATCCTGCATGTCCCTTGACAGTATGGGCAATTTAGCATGGCCAATCCACCGAGCCAGCACATCTTGGACTATGGGAGGAAACCGGAGCAACCGGAGGAAACCACGCAGACACAGGGAGAATGTGCAAACTCCACACAGACAATTGCCCAAGGCTGGAATCGAACCCAAGCCCCTGGCACTGTGAGGCAGCAGTGCTAACCATTGTGCAACCGTGCTGCCCCAGTTATGTACTTTCAGAATATTGTAATTGCTAAATGTGGAACCCTTTTTAAGAGTTGAGCTCGTCGTCTAAAACTCATCTACAATGTTACAAACTGTAATTAGCTCAAACCAATTCACCAGTAAATGGCTTCATTCAGTGATCGGTTATTGTACCACTAACATAGCAGTTCTCTCTTTTCATTTTACACACGGTGATTTCAAATTTGAGCAGAACTGTGGGTTCTGGCCGCATGGGAAATTCCATAATGAAACTGTAGGTCTTACTTACGTGCTACAGAGAAGTTATTCAAAGGTGTTTCTAGTTGCTCTGCATCTTGTGGCCGCTCTTTATAGCCAATAAATGTACCATCAGTCTTCAACAGAAAATAGCGGGGCCTCCATGTTTTTATGTACTCTCCTGGAAATACAGGTAAGTAGAAAATATAACATTCTAGTGTATAGCAGGTAGACCTTAGCACAAAGAACATGCTCAAATTATGCATTCCTTTCATCCCTGTCTTTTAACCAAGGGCTTGTATTGAACTAGAAGATATATTTAAACTTTTTTGTACTATAACCTCAAATCCATGGGGCTAAGAGGAATTCAGAAGGATGAGAAACAGGCTTTGCAGTGTAAGTACCTTTGTTGGGCTGTGTCCTAATAGGCAACTTGTTTGTTCTTCATTGCTAGAGGGATGGAGTTTAAAAGCAGGGAGGTTATGTTGCAGCTGTATAGGGTGCTGGTGAGGCCACACCTGGAGCACTGTGTGCAGTTTTCATCTCCTTACTTGAGAAAGGATGTACTGGCACTGGAGGGGGTGCAGAGTAGATTCACTATGTTGATTCTGGAGTTGAAAGGGTTGGCTTATGAGGAGAGACTGAGTAGACTGGGATTACATTCATTCGAAGAATGAGGGTGGATGTTATAGAAACATATAAAATTATGAAGGGAATAGATGAGATAGAAGCAGGGAGGATATTTCCACTGGTGGATGAAACTAGAACAAGAGGGCATAGCCTCAAAATTAGAGGGGAGCAGATTTAGGACTGAATTGAGCAGGAAGTTCTTCACCCAAAGGGTTGTGAATCTGTGGAATTCCCTGCCCAGTAAAGCAGTTGAGGCTTTCTCACTGAATGTTTTTAAAGCTAAGATAGTTTTTTGAACAGTAAAGGAATTAAAGGTTATGGTGAGAGGGAGGGTAAGTGGAACTGAGTCCACGAAAAGTTCAGCCATGATCGTATTGAATGGCAGGGTGGGCTCGAAGGGTCAGTTGGCCTACTCCTGCTCCTGTTTCTGATGTTCTATTATGTTTTTATGACAAGGGAACTGGAAATTCCTGCCAAAGGGTTGTGAATGGTCATAATTATTAAATTTACATGTTACTCTTCAAAGGACCAGGCTGGAATCATGACCATTGGATTAATACAACTTTCAGTCATGTACAAGTAATGTGTCTAGTTTGTGTGTGGTTAATTTGAAATGAATTTATCAATTGCTTAATTTCAGCATTTTGTAATTCAGTAAGATTTTGAAAATACATCTTTCAAAGCCATAATGAATACTATATAGAAAGGTCACAGAACACTCCACGAGAAAGGAGTCAGCTTTATTTTAAATGATGAACAAATGATGAACTGTGTAATTTTTCATTTCTAAATGACGGAAGTCATTGTAAAGTTTGTACTCTGCTACCTAAAAATGGCACAAGGTGTTTCACCAGCATCTTATATAACCATACAAAAACAAACAAACAAAGTCAGTCAAAATAAACTTAAACTAAAGCTACATCCCAACATAATACACTACCCCCTTTTGCAACACCCTACATGGAAGACATGCAAGCAGAAACAGGCTATTCAGCCCATCATGTCTACTTCCCGTTCAATGAGATCATGGCTGATAGAATCCTCAACTCCATTTTTCTGCCTTTTCTCCAAAACACTTGAACCCCTCATAGATATTTTTAATCAATCTCACTTAATGACCCAGCCTCTATAGCCCTCTGTGGTAAATAATGTGACAAATTCACTACCTTCAAAAGAAGAAATTCCTCTTCACCTCTGTCTTAAAAAGGTTGAGCCCTTATTCTAAGATTATGCCTTTCGAAGCTGGATTCTTCCACAAGGGAATATCCAACCTGTTTCTGCTTGCATGTCTTACATGTAGGGTGTTGCAAAAGGGGATAGTGTATTATGTTGGGATGTAGCTTTAGTTTAAGTTTATTTTGACTGACTGTTTGTTTATTTGTTTGTTTGTTTGTTTTTGTATGGTTATATAAGATGCTGGTGAAACACCTTGCGCCATTTTTAGGTAGCAGAGTACAAACTTTACAATGACTTCCGTCATTCAGAAATGAAAAATTACACAGCCACTTTTGTCAAGTCCCCTCAAGGACGTTGCATGTTTACAGCAATATGCACTCCCCCTGCGTGCCCCACCCCCACCCCCTTTCCCAGCTATGTCCTTCCATATTTTAAAGAGAAATATCCCCTGTCACCTAAATCATAATGGGGACCTAGTAGGCTTCTAAGTCTCTGTCATCATAGATTGAGCATGATAGGCCTGTGGTGATTCATCTTATTTTCCTCCCTTTTCAGGAAGTGACTGGCCTCCAGATGAAGATTTCTCATGTAAGAGCTCATGGGTGCAATATCACATTCTATCCACTCTGTGGCACAGCATGTTAGAACATCAATGCACTCCACACCAATGCATCTCACAGTTACTGAACATTGCACTTATTTTAAATATCAGATTAACCATCAATGAATTTATATTGCCTCAAATCAGGCCTCTACAAGCTTCAATTGCACAATAGAATAATGGATTGTTTGTGTGCATTTCTCAAACTTCAAAATTAGGCATGAATGCATATTGTTAGGACAGGATAGAAAAAGCTATTATGTGCACCTCAGAGGGTGCTTACAGCTGACAAATGGGAAAGTATCAGGGGCCAAGCACAAAATGTAATCTCTTCCTTTTTGAACTGTTGCTGTTAGATGTTCTCCTTTTGTATACTATAATTTTATGGTTACAGAGTAATTAAAAAAGATTTATCACTGTTGAAGGAGGAGAGTAGATTTATAAACAGCACCGAAGCATTGTCAATATACTTTTCCTTCAATCATGACCAGATATTAGACACATCAGACTGACGCTCACCTTCGTTGTGAGGCAACTGTAAAAGTAAACAATGTGCATCAGAATAGATGCTGCTTGAAAGCCAATTTCTCTATCGATCCTACCAAAACAAGAAGTCTTGTGGTTTTATGTTCATTCAGTAATATACTGAGGCATGAAGTTGTAGATTTTTGTTCATTCATATTTTACTCCCCAAGCCCCATCCACTACGTACAAGGCAAAAGTCAGGAGTGTAATGGAACAATCCCCACTTGCCTGGACGAGTGTGTCTCCAACACTCATGAAGCTCGACACCATCCAGGACAAAGCATTGGAGGTAGTCCAGAGAAGGTTTACTAGTCTGATCCCATGTACGGAGAGACTGTCTCATGAGGAGGGGTTGAGTAGATTGGGCCTGCACCTATTGGGAGTTTATAAGAATGAGAGTTGACCTCATTGGAATGTATCAGATTCTCAGGGGATTTGACAGGGTAGATCTTCCAATTCTTCCTCATTGCTATCTCCAGCAAACTGACTTCCTCAATCTACGTAAAGATTCAAGTCTCATGATAAATATGTTGTTATTGTTGTTTCTACTTGTGGGAGAGTCAGAGTAAAAGGAGTCGCACATTTAAAACAGAGATGAGGAGGAATTTTTTCTTTCAGAGGGTAATGATTTCATCATTCATACTGATTGTTTTTCATTATTAGAGGAATCAATGGTTATGGAGAAGAGGCAGGAAGAAGTGAAGTTGAGGATCATCAGATCAGTTATGGTCTCATTGCAGTGATATTGCAGACTCAATGGATCAAATAGCCTACTTCTGCTCCTACATCTTCTTATCTGAGGTTTATTTAGGGTTGGATAATAAATGCTGACCTTGCCAGGAACACCCTCAGTTTTAAAAAAGATCCTTGGTTAAATGACTCTTTCAAATGGCAGCAGTTCCAAAAGAGCAACACATGCTCGATATGGTACAGGAGAGCCAGTTTAGATTTCATGCTCATGTCTTTGGTCGCTGTATTTGAATCCACAACTTAGATGAGCAAGTGCTACCACTAAGTTATAGCTGATGTTGTTCATTGTTCTTCTTGGCAGTAATGTATGAAGGCACTTGTCAAGCTTAGTTAAAAATACAGAAGTCAAATACAACAGTCCTTCATTTCTTTCAGATGCACATAAGGGACCAGACAAATGGATCAGAAGGTAATTCCCAGTTGGATAAACCAAGGTGGCTCAGAAGTTGAATTACATGTATTGTGTAAACAGAAATTTAATGCCAGCTTTATATTTCAGGTGAAACAGGTGACCAAGTAATAGACACAAACAACAGCATTAAGGAAATACCCATTTCCTTTTTATGGAACAGCATTTTTAGTACATGTGATGTCAAATGTGATCGTACTATCACACTCGTAAATAAAACCTGTGCCTTCTTTAAGCAGGCGATTTTATAGTGACCATCAAATTTGAGCTTTGTGTGTTTTTTGGTAGCCTTTTTACAAACTGGGACAAAACAGTCACTATTATTTCCAAAATCTCTTCCCTGTCTTACCTGTGTAAATATTATTGTCCCAGTCAATTTCTGGGAAGGTGAAATCTTCAATTATAATAGTTAGTTCCTTAACAGTCACCATATTCATCTCATGCTACAGCTCCAGATCAAGGGTTTCATGGCTATTGCAGAAAATACGGAGGCATGGGATTGAGGGTAATTTAGCGGTTTGGATCAGAAATTGGCCAGCTGTAAGAAGACAGAGGGTGGTGGTTGATGGGAAATGTTCATCCTGGAGTTCAGTTACTAGTGGTGTACCTCAAGGATCTGTTTTGGGGCCACTGCTGTTTGACATTTTTATAAATGACCTGGATGAGGGCGTAGAAGGATGGGTTGGTAAATTTGCGGATGACACCAAAGTCGGTGGAGTTGTGGATAGTGCGGAAGGATGTTGCCGGTTACAGAGGGACAGAGATAAGCTGCAGAGCTGGGCTGAGAGGTGGCAAATGGAGTTTAATGCGGAAAGTGTGAGGTGATTCACTTTGGAAGGAGTAACAGGAATACAGAGTACTGGGCTAATGGTAAGATTCTTGGTAGTGTGGATGAGCAGAGAGATCTCGGTGTCCATGTGCATAGATCACTGAAAGTTGCCACCCAGGTTGATAGCGTTGTTAAGAAGGCGTACAGTGTGTTAGGTTTTATTGGTAGAGGGATTGAGTTTCGGAGCCATGAGGTCATGTTGCAGCTGTACAAAACTCTGGTGCGGCCGCACTTGGAGTATTGCGTACAGTTCTGGTCACC